CTCAAGCATTCATTAGCTCTGTGACTTTAGGCAAATTACTTAACCTCTTTGCCCCATAGTTTCCTCATTTGAAATAACAATGTGGTTTACCATCATAGTAACCTACATCATAGTCTGTTTTGCATTGTGTTGTGTTGTGTTGTATGTGTGTTTCTTTCTTAGGGTACTTCTCCGCCCTTCCCCTATTCCCCCACCGCATAGATTCTAAGATCCTCCTGAGCAGGAGGGGTTTCTGTGACTTGATCATCTTGTGTGTCTCTTTTAGTGACTACTACAGTATATCCTTTACAGTGGGCATTCAGTACACACCTGGCATATAGTAGGTGCTCTCTAAATATTTGTTGTGAAATGAATGTGGTGATTATAAGAGTTAGCAAAATTTCTGAATATCAATTTTTCGTGTCAGCCAAAAATGATTACTACTCGAGGCTAATCAATTTTTAGGTACAGTGTTTAGAGGCCAAATAAATCTGTAATAAAAATGCATGTAAGGGCTTCCCTGGTGGCGCAGTGGTTGAGGGTCCGTCTGCCCATGCGGGGGACACGGGTTTTTGCCCCGGTCTGGGAGGATCCCACGTGCCGCGGAGCGGCTGAGCCCGTGAGCCATGGCCGCTGGGCCTGCGCGTCCGGAGCCTGTGCTCCGCAACGCGAGAGGCCACAACAGTGAGAGGCCTGCGTACCGCAAAAACAAAAAACAAAAACAAAAACAAACAAAAAAAAGAGAATCTGCCTGCTAATGCAGGGGACACGGGTTCGAGCCCTGGTCTGGGAGGATCCCACATGCCGCGGAGCAACTAGGCCCGTGAGCCACAGCTACTGAGCCTGCGCGTCTGGAGCCTGTGCTCCGCAACAAGATAGGCCGCGATAGTGAGAGGCCCGCGCACCGCGATGAAGAGTGGCCCCCACCTGCCGCAACTAGAGAAAGCCCTCGCACAAAAACGAAGACCCAACACAGCCATAAATAAATAAATAAATATCCTACTCCCAACATCTTCTTTAAAAAAACGCATGTAGGGGCTTCCCTGGTGGCGCAGTGGTTGAGAGTCCGCCTGCCGATGCAGGGGACACGGGTTCGTGCCCCGGTCCGGGAAGATCCCACGTGCCGCGGAGCGGCTGGGCCCGTGAGCCATGGCCGCTGAGCCTGCGCGTCCGGAGCCTGTGCTCCGCAACGGGAGAGGCCACAACAGTGAGAGGCCCGCGTACCGCAAAAAAAAAGTGCGGCCTGCGTACCGCCAAAAAAAAAAAAAAAAAAAAAAAAAAAAAATGCATGTAATAACCATTACACATTCTGGGCGCAGTGTTCGTAACTGGGGAAGTTCAGCCTAAGTACAGGCATATGTCTTCTTTTTAACTAGAGTTGTCCCTCTGAAGGGCTGACAGTGACTGTAAAAATCAGTTTGTCCTTTGCTGCGCTTCTCTTCCTTTAATTTGGCTTCAAATCATCCCGATTAGTTAGTAAAAGGGATCGCTAAGCAAAATGGAAAGAGCAAAAAAAAAAAAAAAGGTAACGGCGAATACGGCTTGGTGTGTCCTTCGCGGCACCCCGTAGTTCTCGGCCGACCTAAGGGCGGTGCGCGCGCTTTTGAAAGCCGGGCGGGTTCCCATCGCAACGACAGTTGCCGAGGGCTTGTGTTGGCAGGTGGGAAGTTCAGCCGGTCGCGGCGTGTTGTTGGGGGCCACTCGGGACCAGTTTTCAAGACAGCCTTGGCTTGGACGTCTCGTCCCACCGCGCGGCTCCGGTAAGGGGAGCTTTTGCGGGTCCTTTCCGCGCGTGGGCCTGGCCGGGGGGTCGACCCACCCCGAGCAGAGGCCTCTGCGTTTGCTTTCCTGACAGCTGGGGGCCTGGAAGGCGGGTGGAAGACGTTGGGAATATGGCGTTGAACTGGGAGTAATCTTAGGAATCATTTTAGCGACCGGCGTGCGCATCTGTATCATGGGGTTAGGTGGGGATTTCCAAGAAAGAAATTGCCCTTTTCTCGAATCAGAGCTTAACAGTTTTACTTCGTATGGAAGCTCCGTAGGAGAAGACGGTGGTTAGACAGATATGGGAAGCCCTGCTCTAGCAAGCTGTCATTGTTTTACAAAGGGATACCGTGAGCCCCGGAGCGGGTGGAAGAAGGATTTTAACAGCCTGCGTCTGTAAGCTCCTGGGTCCGGGGATAAACAGTGGGCGTCTTTACCTCCGGGAATCCTACTGAGGGTGTCAGGTGTAAAGGACCTTAGAAATAATGTGATCAGAACTTTCCCGTTCTTTTTCATTCTACTTTTTTCGTCTATTTTGTTTCTCTTTTCTCAGTTATCTTTACTTTTTCTCCCGTTCTTTCTTTTTCCCCCCTCCTTTTTCTGCTGCCAAGCTACACTTTAGCTTTGCCAGTAGTATCCAGTATTTGTTTAGTCCTAGGGTCCAAAAGTTACTGACCTCTGATCCAGTAGACCTGTTGATTAGCTTGCTGTCCACTTTTTAGTATTGCTCCTCAAACAGTACTTGACTTTTTAAAAATACCCTAAGTATTCGACAAACTATGAAATTCTGCCAACAGTCATGTTACTCTCATTTCTAACGTATCATCATCTAAAATGTTTACAATTTTATGCTTCCTAAGAACTTTTTGATTTAGATTAGTATGGTAATTTAGCAGTTTATATATATATAATGTGTACATACAATATATACAGAATCTGAAACAGAGTTAGGGCCAGTGGCCAGAAGCCACTTATCAGTAGAGTAAGGCCTAAACTGTAGTAATGAAAAAAGTTGCCTCAGACATCTGTGGAATGGATAGGATATATTTAGGTGCAAGTAGGTTAGAGTAGAAGGTGGGACTGAGTCCTAGAGTGTCCTAGAGTGTAATGAAATGTTAAAAGGCTTCTGTTTAAACTTAAGTTTTAAAAAATTTCTTAAATTATTTATTTATTTTATTTTTGGCTGTGTTGGGTCTTCATTCCTGCGTGCAGGCTCTCTCTGGTTGCAGCGAGCGGGGGCTACTCTTTGTTGCGGTGCGCGGGCTTCTCATTGCGGTGGCTTCTCGTTGCGGAGCACGGGCTCTCGGCGCACAGGCTTCAGTAGTTGTGGCTCGCGGGCGCTAGAGCGCAGGCTCAGTCGTTGTGGCTCACGAGCTTAGTTGCCCTGCGGCATGTGGGATCTCCCCAGACCGGGGCTCGAACCTGTGTCCCCCGCATTGGCAGGCGGATTCTTAACCACTGCACCACCAGGGAAGTCCAACTTAGGTGTTTTTAATTGAAGGGAGGTTTTATTTTTAACCCTCGTGCTTCTTCTAACTACTGTTACCGACTCGGGTCCTTGAACTCTTTTATCAATAGAAATTGATAAGAGGCCAGATAAGGAATTCAGACGAGGCTTTATTGGGACTCATGCTGTAGCATGAGTGAGCAAAAACAAGTAACAGGTGCCCCTGCTGGCTCCCTGAGGAGGGTGGGCTGGTTCCTTAAATAGGGTGAGCTTGGGGGCAGATGGGTGGGTGGGGCCAGAGGCGTGGCTTAGGTGGTCTGCCCACCCCCCCTTGGCGGTGCTGTGTGCAGGGATCATGCACAGTACCCTGCTTTTGCTCTTGGCACCTTAGAAGTGGCAGTTGGTTGGTGGCCTTTTGGTATCTTATTGGTCATAATTGCCCCAGGTGCAAGTGCAAGCACTCCGGTAAAAGATCCGAGGTCCCAGTCTATCTCAATATCAAATCTGCCTTATGCTGAGGGGGGAAAGGCAGTGAGACATAGAAGGCAGTAAAATTTCCAGGATACCATTCTTGCCGGGCTTATGTGCATCCTGCTTTTCTGGCCCCTTCTCAGGCTACTTTGTTTGTTTTTCATTTCTCAAGTTGAGATTCCTCAGAGCTCTCAGTTTTCTATCTATACGTACTTCTAGGTGATTTTATCCAGTCTCTTGGCTTTAATACCATATACATGCTGATATCCCACAAATAACACATCTTCAGCTTGGAACAGTTTGCTTTATAGTAAATCTAATATGGAATGTAACTTTTTTTAAAAAGAAAAATGAATTTAAATTTTTTAATAAAAAGGATTTTTTAAAGAAATATGTTACAGAAGAAATAAAAAGCTTGGATTAACTTGCTTGTGTATGCAGTATGTACACTTTATTTTCAAAAACAATTTAAAAATAATAGCTTATTAAGATACAATTCACATATCATAAAATTCACTCTTTGAAACTGTACAATTCAGTGGTTTTTGGAATAGAATTGAATATATTAAACTACTACCTAATTTTAGAACATTTTGGTCACCCCAAAAAAGAAAGCACACATCCACTAGCAGTCGCTCCACATTCTCTCTTCCCCTCAGCCCATAGCAACTACTAATTTATCTTCTGTCTATGGAGTTGCCTTTTCCAGACATTTTGTATAAAAGCAATCATATATGTGGCCTCTTGTGTCTGGCTTCTTTCACTTAGCATAATGTTTTCAAGTTTCTTTCATGTTGTAGTTTATATTAGTACTACATTCCTTTTTAATGACTGAATAATGTTCCATATTAGGCTGTGTACTCTGTTGAATAATATTCTATTGTTGTGTATTGTATACCACATTTTGTTTATCCGTTCATCATCTGATAGCTGTTTCTGTTTCCTCTTTCTGGCTATTGTAAATAATGCTGCTTACATAGCCAATCTCTTAAAAGGATATAAAAGACCTGTTAATAACTACCCCCAGGAAGTGTGGGAGGGTACTAGGTGATTTTTCTTTTAACTGTGTGCATATATTATTTTTTAACTAAAACAAAAAACCCACTGTCAGTAATAGCATGACCTTGGGTATGTAATTGTACTTCTCTGGGTTTCAGTTTTCTCATTGTAAATAAAATCCGACTAAATATTTGTCATGGTCTGTTTCAGTTCTCAAATTTTATGTAAATGAGTGATAGTATTACTGGAATTTTTTATTCATGAATGAAAGATGTATTCTTTATAACTAAAGTGTAACTTTCTCTTTATTTTCATCATAGGACCTTGAGTGATTATTACAATGGAAGAAACCAATAATTTCAAGACACCAAGCAGATTATCTGAAAAAAGGAAATCTGGTAAGATATAAACCTTTCTTCTTTGTTATTGCTATCAGAAACGTCTTTGTATTATTATAGTTTGATCCTTTAATTATTATCGATCACACATGAACAATTTTAGCATAAGTCATCTTTATAATGTTGATCTTAAGAAATAAGACTTCTTTTATAGGCCAGAGTTTGGTCATCTGTGAGTTAATTTTATTGACATTCTAACAGATTTGTAGGTTCTCCCTGGTGAAGAACCAACTTAACTTGAACCATTAAGGAACTACTTTACCTTTCTACCTCTCACACACAGAAAGGTATTTTCCAAGGCAATTCAATGGACAAAGGGTAATCTTTTCAATAAATAAAAACAATTGGATATCCATATGCAAATCAACCCTTAGCTCACATAATATGCAAAAATGGCCAAAATTATAAAATTTCTAGAAGATAACATAGGAGAAAATGTTTTGTGCTCTTAGTATATAGATTTTTGTATATTGACTTTGTGTCCTGCAACCATACTAAACTCACTTATTCTATTAGCTTTTTTGTAGATTGCTTAGGATATTGTACATAGTTGGTAATGTAGATGAATAAAGACGGTTTTTAGTTTTTTTTCCCGGTCTGTGTTACTTTATTTCTCTTTTCTTTCCTTACGGCACTGGCTCCAGTATATATTTGAATAAAGAGGTATGAGAAGACATACTTGCCTTGTTCCTAATGAAGTATTTATGTTAGATGTAGGTTTTTCCAAGATGCCCTTAATCAGGTTGAGGAATTTTCCTTTTATTCCTGGTTATTATCATGAATGGGTATTGAACTTTGTCTAGTGCTTTTTCGGTATCTGTTAAGATAAAGTTTTCCTTTTTAAACTGTTCGTGTGGTATATTATGTTAATTTTAAAATCTCAAACCAACCTTTCATTCCTGGGGTAAAGCCAATACATTGGCCATAATGTATTGCTTGATTCAATTTGCTAATATTTTCTATGTTCATGAGAGATATTGACTGTATGGAGTGTCTGTCTAGTTCTGGTATCAGGGTATTTTGTATTCATAAAGTAAGATGGGAAGTGTTTCCTTCTTTTTCCTTTTTTTTAGAAATGACAGTATTTCTTAACTGGTAGAATTTACCAGGAAAACCATGTGGGCCTGGAGTTTTCTTAGTTTAAAATATTAGAAAAATTTTAACAGTGACCTCACAGTTAATAGATGTAGGGCTATACAGGTTATCTATTTCTTCCTATGTAAGCTCTGTTAGTGTTTCTTCAAGGAGTTTGTCTATTCTAAGTTGTCAAAGTTACTGGCATAAAGTTATTTGTGATATACTCTTATTACCCTTCTAATGTTGGTAGGATTTGTAGTGCTATCGCTTTTTTCATTTCTGGTACTGGTATTTTATATTTTCTTTCTTTCTTTCTTGATCAGTCTGACTAGAGGTTTATCTATCTTGGTGGATGTTTCATGCACTTGAAAGGATATTTTCTGCTGTTGTTGGGTGCATTGTTCCATAAGTGTCAGTTAGGTCAAGCCGGTTGACTTGTTTATGTTGTTTGTTCAAATCTTCTGTATCCTTACTGGTTTTTCTGTTTACTTATTCTATTACTGAGAGAGGAGTGTCTCCAGCTACAATTGTGGATGTGTCTTTTTTTCAATCCTATCAGTTGTTGCTTTACATATTTTGAAACTTGTTATTAGGTACCATATACATTTAGGATGGTTATTGTTGTACCCTGTTCATAGTCCACTTTATGTGGTATCAATAGAGCCACCCAGTATTATTTTGTTTAGTGTTTTGATGGTATATGTTTTCCAATCTTTTACTTTTAACATATTTATATCTTTATATTTAAAGTGAGTTTATTATAGACAGCATGTAGTTATGTGTTGTTTTGTTTTTATCCATTCTGACAACTTCTGTCTTTAATTGGAATGTTTAGGCACTAGTGACATGTGGCAATTTAAAGTTAGGTTCAAATGAAATAAAATTAAATTACAAATTTAGTTCCTCAGTTTTACTAGCCACATTTCAAGTGCTCAGTAACCACATGTGACTAGTGGCTCCCTTCCTGGACAACACAGATACAGAACATTTTCATCAAGACAGAAAGTTCTATTGGACAACACTGTTCAGACCATTTACATTTAATGTAATTCTGTATGGTTGGATTTAAACCTACTATTTTGCTCTTGTCCCATGGCTCACTGATGATTTCTTTATTTTTTTCCTAATCTTTTTCTCAACGCTTCATTTTTGGTAGTTTATGTTGCTTCGTCTTAAAATTTAGTTACTTTTTCTTCTGCTTCTCTAAGGTGGTGTTCTTATTCATTGTATTTTTCATTCCTTGAAGTTCCATTTGGATCTTCTTTTACATCTTTTTCTTTCCTTGTTATGCTCACATTTTCCTTTACATTATTGAGCATATTTTGGAGATTATATCTTAAGGTTCTTATCTGCTAATTCTACATCACTGCCATTTTGCGGTATGTTTCTGTTGGTTTATTTTTCTCCTGAGATGGGCCATGTTTTCTTGCTTCTTTCATGCCTGGTAATATTTTATGGCTGCTGGACATTTAATATTGTTGAGTGCTGGATTTTGTTATTCCTTTGAAGGGTGTGTGGTTTTGTTATGGTCCAGTTAGGTCACCTGCACATTAGCTTGTTTCTTTTGAGGCTTGCTTGTAAGCTTTGTTCTAAACTTTTTCCATGGGCTAAAATGTAGCTGTACCACTAAGAGTGACTCTTTAGAGGACTTCACTCAATACTCTGTGAGAGTTACCATGCTCTGGCTGATGGTAATTGAACTATTCCTAGACCTGTATAATCTCTGGTAATTGTTTAACCTATTGCTTGCGTTTGGTGCTTTCCTCAGCTTTGGGGGGTTCTGTCCATTCTATGTGCAGTTAAGTACTTAGCCAAACGCTCAAAGAGAGACCTCTTTTCAGATCTCTGGAGCTTTTTCTCCCACTTTTTGCCTCCCTCTTTAGTTCTCTATTCCACAGATTCTAGCTACTTAAATCTTGTTGACCTCTAATCTCCATCTCCTCAATTTGACAAGGCCTCCACTGTGTTTCTTTGCACTGCAGGCTGGAAACTACCTTTAAGCAGTAAGTTAGGTCAATGATAGGACTCACCTCATTTGTTTCTCTTCTCTCAGAGTTTACAGTCCTGCTCTGCCAGTTGTCAAGTATCTGAAAACCATTATATCTTGTCAAACTTTCTAGTTGTTCATGGCAAGATAGCAATTCCAGGAGCAGTTAATTGTTCATTAGCAAAAGTAGGACTCCTCTATCTCATCTTTTTTAATGACTGTATAATACTGTGTAATATAGATATACTATAATTATGACTGTAATGATGAATACTTAGGCTTTTTTGTCTTTTTGCAACCACAAAAGCACATACCGATATTCACATGTATATGCATGCATATATGATAGTAAATAGTTTAGGTTCTGTGGGCCACATAGGAACCCTATTGTTATATTCTTCTTTTTTTATGATTTTTGCCTGAATCAGTCATTACTATGATGGCTGAAAAATGATATTAAAAAGTTGATTTTATTGTCCTCAAAATCTGCTGAACTCTGGATCCAGGCTAAGTCAGTAGGGCTGCATGGTGCCTTATATCTGTTGTTGCTTCCTGAGGTCCTGTTTACCATCTCCCAAAGGCTCAGCTTCTGGAGAAGCTGGAGGTGTGTTTAGAAGGGTATGTTCCCAGGAAGAGAGAGAGATTTGGAGTCCAGACTGATGACATTCAAGTACACTGAATCTGTCTCTCTGTTTCCCCTGTTCTGGCTCCAGAGAAATAAGACAGTCACTAGTGAGATTGGTGCCATTCTGTGTAGTTACTTTCTATACTTTGAATTTTCTCAACTCAGAGATCTTGTCCCTGGTTTTGTCTGTGTTCAAAGGCCTCCTCAATTTCTCTTTTTTTCTGGACATGGAATCTAGATCTTCGATTTTGAAACCAGAATTGAACTCTTGACTCTAGAACCCTGGTTTCTTTAGCAAGTTGCTCTCTGGAATCAATCCCACAATAACAGTTGTCCATAAATGCCTTGATGAGGGTGTGTAATTGAGAGGAGTATAGCTAATATGACACTGTCTGTCTTTTCTACTTGAATCTTCTTTCAGGGTGATCTTGGTCTTGGCTTGATTCTAAGTCCTACTCAGGTTCTGATCTTTTCTGGAATCAGTTCCTAGCTCTTCGATTCTGAAACCAAATCTGTATTCTAGACTCTTCAGTGTTATTAAAGGCAAGTCTTCGTTTGGTAGCATAACCTGGGTACGTTTTTTGGTTGAAAGCATTGATGAGGATTTTCAGTTGATCTTCTGTGAATTTGGTGCAGCTGTGTCTACACTTCGTTGCCATGGTGTTGTTTGGAGAGTTGTCTTGGGCCATGTTGGAAGACAGTCATGAAGTCTAAGGGTTTGACCAAGAGACTTTCTTTATCTATTGTTTAACAAGGCTTTTAAAATGTAAAAATCGATTCTTAGGGCTTCCCTGGTGGCGCAGTGGTTGAGAATCTGCCTGCCAATGCAGACAACACAGGTTCGAGCCCTGGTCTGGGAAAATCCCACATGCCATGGAGCGACTGGGCCCGTGAGCCACAATTACTGAGCCTGCGCGTCTGGAGCCTGTGCTCCGCAACAACAGAGGCCGCGATAGTGAGAGGCCTGCGCACCGCGATGAAGAGTGACCCCCACTTGCCACAACTAGAGAAAGCCCATGCACAGAAATGAAGACCCAACACAGCCATAAATAAATAAATAAATACATTGTGTATTATTTAAAAAAAAAAAAAAAATCGATTCTTAGCTTGTGGGCCATACAAAAACAGGCCGTTTACTGACCCCTGCTTTAGTGTTACTGTCAGATCGAGCTCTAAAAGTAGACTTGGTCAAAGGGTATCCATTTAAAATTAGGATAGATAGTGTCAAATTGCTTTCCAAGACTTTGCCAGTTAATACTCTTTAAGAATAATATATTGAGAATGGTAGGATGCATCTGTAGACGTCTTTTCAAATACTAATTTTATCTTTTATTTCTCTTTCTGACGTTTAGCATTGTGTTTAACTCCATGCATAAATATTCCTGCCTCTCCGTTTATGCAGAAGCTTGGCTTTGGTACTGGGGTAAATGTCTACCTTATGAAAAGGTGAGTATAAGATTTCAGATGAGTGTTTTTACATGGAACCATAGTTCCACTGTACTTGGAGACAAAAAGGAATATGAAAATTCAAATATTTAGATTTGGGGTATGTTCATAACTTTGCCAGAGCTCTGCCTGGTATACTTTTCTCCTAGCTTCCTCCTGATGGATTATTAAAGGAGAAGTAATTTACCTTGTAATTTTTCCTTGGCTTGTTTAAGAAGGGAAGAGGACAGAGGAGAGGGGTTCCTGTGTGATACCAGTGTTGGGGGATATCAGTGATTATTAATCCCTTCTGTCTGGAGAGTTGCCTTCTCAAGATATTCTCTTCTAAAGAAGTAAAAGTTTTTTTATTTCTTATGTCATCATTGTTAAGTAAGAAGGACAAATATGTGATTTTAAAGTAGGAAAATCGTATTAAAAGAAAAATGAAATAGAATAGGGGCTAATAGCTAATAATATTACACATGACAACAAACACATTTTATTAAAAGTTGTTATATTCATTACTCTGTACCTATTTTCATGTTTATTAAGTGGCAGACAATTAAGCCATTATGTATTGCTTAATGTGTTCTCGGAATCAGCCTGACTAGTCCAACCCAGCAGGTCGTTAGCTTCTCTAGGTTTATATTGTTCCCAAATAGAAATACTGTAATAAAAAGCTAATGAATTGAGAATAGCATAGCAGTTATATATAAGTGGGTATTCTTGAAGCATTTTTGCAGTTTAAACACCCCCTTTGTGTGTTTCTATGCTATAAGTTTTGTGAACTTTCATTTTTTAATGTCTAAAACTCTTGTCTAAGTTATTTTGAAAGAAAAAATTTCTCACAGGTTCATGGCTAGTCTCATTTTTCTCCCTTTTAAAAACTATTTTTAAAAAGTGAAGTGTGTTGTTAACAAAGTTATACTGTATGTGACTTAATTAGGAAGCTTCAGGTGACTGATTGAAAACAGCAGTTCCTGCCTGAGCCTCCCAGTCTTCAAGGGTGGCCCTGTTAGCTTGGGATTTTCCTTTACCGGTAGCCTAGAGATTTCCTTTGCTTCTCTGGTGAACTGGATCCTCTGTTTTTCTGTATCTCATGTCTTAGTATTTCTTGGTTTACATCTCATTTTGGTTGAGGACATTTGGTAGCGCCCCATGAAAAGATGCACAGAAGATACATTTTTGAGAATTTGCATTTCTGAAAACGTTCTCATTTTACCCTCATACTTGAATGGCCTTTTTTGTTTTTCTGGGTTATAATTCTCATTCAGAAGTACTTTTCCTCCAGAATTTTGAGGACATTGTTCAGGTGTTGCTGTTGAGAATTCTGAAGCCCTTCTGACTACTGATTCTTTTTATGTATCTGTTCTATGTTATCTGTTCCTCCCACTGTAATTTCACAATGACATGCATGGGTGTGGGCCTCTTGGAAACTGAAAATTCCTGTTCTTAAATTTTTGAGAAATTATTTTTTTTAATAACTTTGATGATCATTTTACCCTTCTTTTTTTAGTTAATTAATTAATGGCTGCATTGGGTCTTCATTGCTGCGTGCAGGCTTTCTCTTGTTGCGGCGAGCGGGGGCCTCTCATTGCGGTGGCTTCTCGTTGTGGAGCATGGGCTCTAGGCACGCGGGCTTCAGTAATTGTGGCTTGTGGGCTCAGTATGTGGTGTGCAGGCTCTAGAGCGCAGGCTCAGTAGTTGTGGCTCACAGGCTCTAAAGTGCAGGCTCAGTAGTTGTGGCCGTGGGCTCAGTTGCTCCACAGCATGTGGGGTCTTCCCAGACCAGGGCTCGAACCCGCATCCCCTGCACCAGCAGGTGGATTCTTAACCACTGCGCCACTAGGGAAGTCCCATCACCCCTGTTTTTCTGTTCTCTGTCTTGGAACTCCTATTATGGATGTTGGATTTACTGGACTGATCTCTAATCTACCTTTATTTTATTTATTTTTTTGGTCTGTTTTTCTATTTTCTTTCTCTTTTTGTTCTGTTTTCTGGGAGATTTCCCCAACTTCATCTTCTGATACTTCCATTGAGTTTTTCATTTTTATCTATCTTGTTTTTAATTAATTATCTGAAAGTTTTCCTTTTTAAGATGACATCCTTAGTCTTGTGGGGATGCTAGACATGTTGTATATCTTGATCTGGATGTTGATAACACAGGTATATACACGTGTGAAAACTCACTGAGCATTTAGGGTGCAATTTGGTCGTGAATTACTGTGTTCCTGTATGGTTCACAGGTTCTCAACTACGTCAGTCAACCTTAGGCTAAAGACCGTCTGCTTTTTCCCCTTTCAAAGCCAGTCGTCCATCTTCAGAAGTTGGGGGATAGAGGATGGGCAGCTGCCTGCTGATACAGAATCAAGGATCGTATCTAGGAATGCACCTGCTTTTAAAACAGCTTTCAAGAAGTTCATTGGGCCTGTTAAGTCAGTTACTTTCAACTGCTTTTCAAGCTTCCGAGACTTTGTTGCTGTTGTCTCCTCTTCATTATTTCCATCCTTGTCAGTCGGTGTATGTCTTAAAGTATTCATTTGTTTTTATTTTAGAGGTGCCTTAGAGGGATCAAAATTTTATGTGTATGTTCAGGCTATCATTTCAATTCAGAAGTCTACATTTTTTACTGTCAAATTTGCATTGCTAGATAAAACCCAACATAGTTGTGATGTATTATTATTTTTTAATAAATGGATAGATTCATTTTACTATTTGTTTAGAATATTTGCATCTCTGATATAAGTAAAATTAGCTTGTGATTTTTTCCTTTTCCTTTCCTTTTTCCTTGTGATTTTCCTTGTCCCTGTTTGATTTTTTTATTAAGGTTATATTGGACTCATAGTCCTTTTTCATTCTATTCCCTGGAACAGTTTGTATGGGATTGAATAATGTGTTCCTTTAAAATTTAGTAAACTCACCTATTAAATTATCTAGGTTTTGTGTTTCTTGAGGGAAAATTTTAAACTCTTGATTACATTTCTTCTTTTATGAGTTTTCTTAGATTTTTTAAACAAATTCGTCCATTTTGTCTTTTAAATATATTGGCCTTAAAAGTTTTAGTATTTATTCACTTATATATTTTTTAATCTCTGCTGAATATGTCCCCATTTTCGTTTGCAATATTATTTGTGTCTCCTTTTGTTTTTTTTTCCTTGTGCAGTCTCAACAGAAATTTGCCTGTTTTATTAGTATTTTAGTGAACCAACTTTTAACTTGGCAAAGTTTTATTCAGATTTGTAAATACATTCTTGTCATTCTGTAGGTTAGGATATGTTATGGAAAAGGTGAAGATGGACTTGCTCACTGAATTCTAAATAATCGAGAGCTGTGGGTGGGGTACCCCTTGAAACTCGAAAAATATATTTTTCATATTAAAATGAGATGGAAGAGGTATCCCTAAATGCTCTTGTTATCTAAAACTGGAGGTTTAAGAATAATTTAGATGAACTTATGCATGATAGATATATATGAATTAAGAAATCTAGTGATCCTTTGAATACATGTTTTTTGATTTTAAACAGAGGTCCTGCAATCATAGAGCTGTGCTCATGAGGTAGAGTACAGAGCTAAATGGGCTCTTGGTTCAGTCTGTTGTTTTACCTTCTTATGGTTGAACTTTTAATCTTTAACTTTTGAGGCTCTTTGACTAGCTTTTGTGCCCATATGCTGCATACACTTTGTCCTTTGTAATTTGCCATACTCATAAACGCCTACCTTACCTGGTGAACAAACCTTTCCCTGACTTCGTTTTACCTGTTTGTTTATTTAGGCCTCGAAACATTTATACCTTAAATATTCTTAAAACAGCTGAATCTTCCTAGAAAATAGAAATTTACATTTTTTCTTATTTTTATGTTTATTATTATCTCCCTAAACACATGTATATGGTGAGAGGTATGTAAGATGAATTGCTAAGTCTGTTAGAGGCACAATATTTGTTGGTGAAGAACAGTCTGTTACTCTTTGCATGGTTATATATGAGCCAAATGTATAACTTCTTTAGATTGTTTCTTAGATATTAGTGTTTATTACTTTAACATTCTGTAACTCATATTTGGTACATATAGTTAAATGCTTTTTGAGTAATTGGTAGTTTGAAATGCTTGAATGAAAAAATTAGAAAATACTATAGTAATTTTGAAGTTTAAAATTTATAACATTTCATCTTTTTCCTTTTAGTTTTCTCTTTTTAACCCTTCCCTTCCAGTAATAGATATCAGACTTTTTTTGTAATCAATAGATTTAATCAGATATAAGTACCCAATTAAAGAGGATGTATAACAGAAGTGTTGATAGTCTAAAATATTTTAACTATTTTTTAAAGAAAACAACAAATTATTATTAAGTCCTTCTCAAAATTTGGAAGTTCTTGTTAGTCATTTGAAATGTATTATGGTTATTAATCTTTCTGTACATTTTTGATTAATTATTTTTTAAGATCTCCAAGAGGTTTGTCTCATTCTCCTTGGGCTGTGAAAAAGATTAATCCTAGATGTAATGATGATTATCAGAGTATGTATCAAAAGAGACTAACTGATGAAGCTAAGATTTTGAAAAGCCTTAATCATCCAAACATTATAGGTAAGTTTAGATTTATTTGGTAACAGTATCTGGTATAGTATTCTGTTTATCCAGAGATGGTTTATATAATATCTTAACTGGTTTCACTAATAAAAATGAAGAGGGTAGTGATGGAATTTAGCAAGAATCAAATTAATGTGAACATTCTAAAATAAAAATTAGTGGGAATTCCCTGGTGGTCCAGTGGTTAGGACCCTGGTCAATCCCTGGTCGGGGAACTAAAATCCTGCAAGCCGTGCGGCTTAGCCAAAAAAAAAAAAAAAAAATAGTATATGTTTTTAGATGCTTAAGTATATATTTAAAACTTCATGGGAGTACATATAGTCATTTATGGTGCTGGTACTATGGAGAATTCAGGAATGTAATATATTCATTTACATAATTTCCTTATTTTAATTTTTAATGTAAGTAGAGCTGGTGAAACCATTATATTTAGGAAGGCATTGAGTATTAAAAAAATCTCAATTTGTGATACTATTGGCAAACACTGAAGGCATTTTAAATTAGATCTACTGAATGAGTTTTGTAAATAATAGCTATTTCATTTTATATTTGACAGTGTTAATCCAGATCTGTATTCGGTCACATTACTGTAAAAAACTTAAATACTGTTGTTCTTCCCTATTTCAGTAACAAAATGTCGTGTTTTCTTTAAGGTTACCGTGCCTTCACTAAAGCTAGCGATGGTAGTCTATGTCTTGCTATGGAATACGGAGGTGAAAAGTCTCTGAATGACTTAATAGAAGAAAGAAATAGAGATAGCCGAGATCCTTTTCCAGCAGCCATAATTTTAAAAGTTGCTTTGAATATGGCAAGAGGGTTAAAGGTAACTATGCTATTTTATATATATATATATATATATATTTTTTAAGATTTATTTATTATCTGTTTAGTTTTGGCTGCGTCAGGTCTTAGTTGTGGCACACGAGATCTTTGTTGAGGCATGCGGGATCTTTCATTGCAGCAGGTGGCCTTCTCTCTAGTTGTGGCATGTGGGTTTTCTCTTCTCTAGTTGTGGCATGTGGGCTCCAGGGCACGTGGGTTCTGTAGGTTGTGGCACGTGGGCTTTCTAGTTGAGGCGTGAGCTCAGTAGTTGTGGTGTGCTGACCTAGTTGCCCCGCGGCATGTGAGATCTTAGTTCCCTGACCAGGGATTGAACCTGCGTCCCCTGCATTGTAAGGCGGATTCTTCACCACTGGATGACCAGGGGAATCCCATGCTATTATATTTTAAATTACTTTTGTGGGACCTGAAGAAACTAAATACTTTATTTATTTATTATTTAAAATGTTGTGTTTAATTTCTGCTGTACATCAAAGTGACTCAGTTATACTTATGTATTCTTTTTCATTATGGTTTATCATAGGATATTGAATATAGTTCCCTGTGCTATACAGTAGAACCTTGTTATTTATCCATGCTATATATAATAGTTTGCATCTGCTAATCCCAAACTCCCAATCCTTCCCTCCCCTACCCAGCCTCCCCCTTGGCAACCACAAGTCTGCTGTCTATATTTGTGAGTCTGTGTCTACTTTGTAAATAAGTTCATTTGTGTAATATTTTAGATTCCACATATAAGTGATAATCATATGGTATTTGTCTTTCTCTTTCTGACTTACCTAGTATGATAATCTCTAGGTCCATCCATGTTGCTACAAATGGCATTATTTCATTCTTTTTAATGGCTGAGTAATATTCCAGTGTGTGTGTGTGTGTGTGTGTGTGTGTGTGTGTACACACATCTTCTTTATCCATTCATCTGTCGATGAACAGATACTAATATGCCTAATTACAAGGTGGAATTTTTTTCCCAAAGAGGGAGTTGCTTTAAGTTAAAGTCTTTATAGAATCTCTCACCCTGAAGAGTGCACTGTGTATTTATTTTGATCAGCAAAGTATTGTTAGAGGCCTTCACACCTTCACATAGCCTTAAATAACCCAAGTCAGGAAGTTTTGCTTATAGAGATTGCGTGTTAGATTTAGTTAAATGGACTAATATATTTACAACAAATTTAGTCATTATTCCTGGGGGTGTACTCTAACCCTCTGTTGCTATAAACAAGCCTTTCAAAGATTTTTTTGTGGGATACTAAGTTTTGGACATGGTGAATATACACCTATAGGTCAAGTGAAAAAAGTGCTCTCAATGTTATGCAAACAAATTATTGTGCCTTTGGGTAGACATACTGTAAGAAAAAAGTAAGAGATAAAAAGAATTCTGTATCCTAAATAACTTAAGTAATTATGGCTCCAGAAAATTGTTGGATGACTCAGAAAACAGATTATGTAATGATACTGATGTCAGAGTTGCATGTTAAGAATTCAAATAAAGTTGTTTCATGAAATGTGAAACTGGAAAAAGGCAATATTTCTAAATATATATTTTAATATGTGTATAGAAAAACTGATTTTAAATAGGATGAACTAAATTAATAATTTGAATTATTTAATAAATAATTATTTTAAATGTGTATAATGGAATTAATAAATTACATTATAAATATATTTGAGCATATTCAATTTATGGTCAGCAACGTTTAAATTAAGCACTGTAAGTGTTCCAAGTTAAATACCAAGAATTGTTTCTGCATCACTTTCAGGCCCAGCTCACAGTAGATGCCCAAATGCTGATGAATGAAAAAATAACAGTTTTGCAGGACATTTTTGATTATGGATGAATATCATCACTTGTCAATTCTAAGAGTTAATGTGTAAAACAAAATATAGTCTTAGATTACATTACTCCTTCATCTTCTGCTTGTGAATTATTTGCAGCATTATCTCAACAATTTGAGGAAACCCTGTGTCATTGTGAAGATTACAAAATTATTTCTAAAAATTACTAGCCTCAAGTAAATTGTAGTATATTTTGAAATCTGCAGTAGCATCTTTGATGTAAAAGTATGTGAGGTGGGTTTGGAAATTAAAAGTTAGCCTATCTATAAATAGACATCAGTTTCCAAAGAATCTTTCAGATTTCTGGTCAGTGTAGCACACCAAGACAGCTTGGGATGGTCCCTTCTCTAGCTTCGAATAATTTGAGATGATGGACAGATATAAGCCTGTAGGTTAGGAAGGGCATTCAAGTTGTTATTTTTGTTTGAGAGTTATCATATTTTTTTAATTAGTTTGTATTTTTTGCTCAGATGTGTTAAATTTTCCACTATTTTAGTATTTGCACCAAGACAAGAAACTGCTTCATGGAGATATAAAGTCTTCAAATGTTGTTATTAAAGGTGATTTTGAAACAATTAAAATCTGTGATGTAGGAGTCTCTCTACCATTGGATGAAAATATGACCGGTAAGTAGAATTCTAATTTTTTTTTTAAAACAAATTTATTTATTTATTTATTTTTATTTTTGGCTGTGTTGGGTCTCTGTTGCTGCATGTGGGCTTTCTCTAGTTGCGGCGAGCAGGGGCTACTCTTCATTGCGGTGTGCAGGCTTCTCATTGCGATGGCTTCTCTTGTTGCGGAGCACAGGCTCTAGGCGCGGGGGCTTCAGTAGTTGTGGTGCAGGGGCTCTGTTGCTCTGCGGCATGTGGGATCTTCCCAGAGCAGGGTTCGAACCCATGTCCCCTGCGTTGGCAGGTGGATTCCTAACCACTGCGCCACCAGGGAAGTACCAAGAATTCTAATTTTCAAAATTGCTTTTATACAGTATTTAAATTTCTAATTTTTACATATTTAAAAAGGTAATAAGTTCACATTCTTCAAAAATCAAAAACTATGAATAAAAAGTGTACAATTAAAAAAATCCCTTCTTTTATGTCTCTCTTCTACTCAGCCTCTAGCCCCCTTTCTTGCCACACACACAATATAAATGATTGGTTTCTCGTTAGTATATATTTTAATTGAAGATGTGGGGAGCTATTTCTAACCTGGATTGGGATTTTTAAGTGGTAAAAGATCTGGGAATAGAAAACAAAATTTTTACAAGGTTTTGTAAAGGAATTCATTTAGCATCAGCATAATGACAAGATTTGGGAAACTGCTAGAAGAAACTGGAGTGGGAGTAGGAAAGAAAAGTGCTAATTAAGGCCTGTCTTCTGCTTTTTGCCCCTTGGCCCACCACACCTCATTCTTCTCTCTCTATTGTGAATACTGACCATTCTCTTCTTAGGGAATTTAAGATATGTTCTTTCTTTTTTTTTAATACCTTCTTTGAATATTGTTTTCCATCATGGTTTATCATAGGATATTGAGTATAGTTCCCTGTGCTATACAGGAGGACCTTGTTGTTTATCCATCCTCTATATAAAAGCTTACATCTGCTAACCCCAACCTACCACTCCATCCCTCCCCCAGTCTGTTCTCTGTGTCCATGATTCTGTTTCATAGATAGGTTCATTTGTCTCATTTTAGATTCCACATATAAGTGATAGCGTATGATATTTGTCTTTCTCTTTCTGACTTACTTCACTTAGTATGATAATCTCTAGTTGCATCCGTGTTGCTGCAAATGGCATTATTTCATTCTTTTTCATGACTGAGTAGTATTCCATTGTATATATGTACGACATCTTCTTTATCCATTCATCTGTTGATGGATATTTAGGTTGTTTCCATGTCTTGGCTATTGTGAATAGTGCTGCTGTGAACATAGGGGTGCGTGTATCTTTTTGAATTATAGTTTTGTCTGGATATATGCCCAGAAGTGGGATTACTGGATCCTAATGGTAATTCTATTTTTAGTTTTCTGAGGAACCACCATACTGTTTTCCACAGTGGCTGCACCAACTTACATTCCCACCAACAGTGTAGGAGGATTCCATTTTCTCCACACCCTTTCCAGCATTTATTTGTACACTTTTTAATGATGGCCATTCTGACCAGCGTGAGGTGGTACCTCATTGCAGTTTTGATTTGCATTTCTCTAATAATTACTGATGTTGAGAATATTTTCATGTATCTATTGGCCATCTGTATTTCTTCTTTGGAGTAATGTCTATTTAGGTCTTCTGCCCATTTTTCTATTGAGTTGTTTGTTTTATTGTTGTTGAGTTGTATGAGCTGTTTGTATATTTTGGAAACTAATCCCTTGTCATTCACATTGTTTGCAAATATTTTCTCCCATTCTGTAGGTTGTCTTTTTGTTTTGTTTATGGTTTCCTTTGCTGTACAAAAGCTTGTAAGTTTGATTAGGTCCCATTTATTTATTATTATTATTTTTTTATTATTTTTTGCGGTACGCAGGCCTCTCACTATTGTGGCCTCTCCCGTTGTGGAGCACAGGCTCTGGACGCGCAGGCTCAGCAGCCATGGCTCACGGGCCCAGCCGCTCCGTGGCATGTGGGATCTTCCTGGACTGGGGCATGAACCCGTGTCCCCTGCATCAGCAGGCGGACTCTCAACCACTGCGCTGCCAGGGAAGCCCCGGTCCCAATTTATTTTTGTTTTTATTTCTGTTGCGTTGGGAGACTGACCTAAGAAAACATTGGTACGATTTATGTCATAGAATGTCTTGCCTATGATCTCTTCTAGGAGTTTTATGGTGTCTTGTCTTATGTTTAAGTCTTTAAGTCATTTTGAGTTTATATTTGTGAATGGTGAGTGGGTGTGACAGGGTGCGGCTGTACAGCTTCCCCAATACCACTTGCTGAAGAGACTGTAGGGAATATAAGATATGTTCTTGTTGAGAAACAAAAACAAAAAAGCAAAAGCCTTAAAGAGAAAGCCTCTGCTTTCAACATATTATTTAATAAATAATATTTAAATTTGCCTCTTTATATAAATATAAGGTAGAAGGAAGGCTAATGATACTGTTTCGAACTATGTACATCTTAATTTCTAGTTAAAGTCTACAAGTTGAATTGAAGGGGAAAGCCAAGATAAATAGATTGACTTTATAATGATGTCTATAATCATTAGTAAAGATAGAACTGGCATGAACCCTTAGGCTAAATAACTGGTACAAGGCTGAAACTTCAGCAAATAAAAGGAGAAATTGTCAAAAAGAATAAAAATAAGATTTTTTTAGCATAATTTTCTCAATCCTTAATAGATCTAATAGACAAAACTAAGATGTAAAAGATCTGAGTAAATAATAAGTTCAATCTCTATGCATTAGAATATTTATCAAAATTCACCATATACTAGTTAAGTTACAAAAGAAAATCTCAGATTACAAAAAGTAGAAATAGACTAAAGGTTAACATTCATTATCCTCAGTGCTATAAATATAGAAATTGGTAGTACGGTTGGAAACAAAAATTCAGGAATTTAATATAATTGTATATAGTTCTTGGCCAAAAGAAGTGAAGTTCCAGTTACACGCTATTTAGAAAATAATGAGAATGTAAGAACAAATCAAAACCTATTTGATATGGTCAAAAGTGCTCAAAGGAAAACATTTTCATTATTTAACCTTTATGAAATTGAGTATTCAACTGAAATCAGGAAAAAGAAAATGAAGCCCTGAAAGAAAGGAGAAATTAATGAATGAGAAAATCTATAAATTCTGTAATATCCCAATATGATCTATGTTATTCTAGAACATTTCAAAGAGAATGTAAAGTTTATCCTTGAGGATACGTGTTCAAACACAGCCAGGAAAATTCTGTGAAAGAGCGTTAGTAGGAATTTTCCTGACCAGATGTTAAGTATTATAAAGCTATAGTAATTAAAGCCATGATACTCATGCCAAACTAGGCAGAAAATTTTAACATAAGAGTCAAGAGATAGTTCCCAAATATATAAAATTTGTTATATGATAAAGGTGACATTTTTGTATTAGTGAGAAAGAGGTAATTGAGTCAGTAAATGATGGTATCTGGTCATTTTGGAGAAAGTTGTTTCCTATCCTCACACTCTAATCCCTCTAGATCAAAGATTTAAAAAAAGAAAGTAGCAGAAAAAATTGTTGGTAAATATTTCCTTAATGTTGGGCTTAAGAAGGTAGAAAGCATTTTTTTAAAAAAAGTTATGACTACTGAAAATTCCTTGAAAAATTTCTGTATGTTAGTATGAGCAACAGTATAGATGAATATACTCTCATGCACTATGTAGAAGTTGCAGTTGGTGTATCATTCAGGTTAAGATAAGTTTTGCTATGGTAACATAGGCCCTCAAAAACCTCAGTGCCTTAAACCAAGGCTTCTGATTCAAGCTACACGTCCATTAGGGCTGTGTTCCATGTCATTCGCACGTTAGGACCTAAGCTGCTAGGACATCCACTATGTGGAATACTGCCATCGTTGTGTGGAAGGTAAAAAAAACTCTAGAGCTGCACTATCCACTACAGTAGCCACTAGCTACGTATGGCTGTTTAAATTAATTAATATTTAAAATTTTTTAAAATTCATTTTCTCAGCCACTTTAGGCACATTTCAGGTACTCAGTAGCTACGTGTGGTTAGTGGCTACCATATTGGACAATGCAGATACAGAACATTTTTATCATCACAGAAAGTTCTGTTGGACAGTGCCACCCTAGAAAGTCTTGCACTAACAATTAAATGCTCCAGCTTAGAAATGACACAAGTCACTTCTTTCACAAGTCACTGACTGGAACTAGTCAAATGGCTTCACCCAGCCATGACAGGCCAGAAAGTGTGGTCCTTCTGAGTGTCGAGAAGGTGGTCCTTCTGTGCATGTAGAAAGTGGAGAGCATGAACTGCTTGATGTACAGCACCAGTAACTACCACAGTGGTGTAGCCTTTTCAGAGGGCAGTTGGAAATGCATATTTCTCTAAAAAACAAAACCTTAAAAATGTTTATGCCCTTCGATCCTGTAATTTCATTTCCAAGAACACATTCCAGAGAAATAATTGGGCAGTGCAGGTATTTTTTTTTTACAATAACCTGGTATATTAATTTCTGGAACAGTCAAAAGCTAGAACTAGGCTTATAGAAGAAATAGAGTTGGAACAGAAGAATCAAAACCCATGCAACCTTGAAAACAAAGCAATACCCCAAATAGTAACAATCCTAGTAAAAATACTAACACCTTAGATCTTCACTAGCACCCAGTATCATTCAGTGTTGTGTAGCCACGAACCCTGGATTTGTGCTTCCTTGAAGGTAAATATAAGGGTGTTTATTTTCAATAGATACTTCTCATTAAAATTAAAAATTTGATCTGGCTTTTTCAATAAAAAAAAGTATCATATCACTTACATGTGGAATCTAAACAATAAACCAGTGAATATCACAAGAAAAGAAACAGACTCACAGATAAGAGAACAAGCTAGTGGTTACCAGTGGGGAGAAGGAACGGAGGAGAGGCAAGATAAGGGTAGGGAGTTAAGGGGTACAGACTACTGTGTATGAAATAAATAAGCTACAGGGATATGTTGTACACA